AAAGATTAAATAACATTCCTAAAGCCAGCCACCAAGGTCTACTCCCTTAGTTGGCTACTTTCTCCTCCTGAGGCTGACTACCAAGGTCCAGCAATCAGAAAGCCCCTTTGGTTCACCCAATAAAAATTAAACACCTCATCCTAACATGGGGTTTTCCCCCTCTCCTTTATAACCCAGCATTTACCTGTGGGTCATGTCTGTCTCCTCTCTATCCAGAGGCAGTCCTGTCCCTCAGGGTCAAATATCCCTGCCCTTTTCCCTTGTCCCCTCCCCTTCTCCCTCATTCCCTATCTCCTTTACCACCTCACCCTAGCCCATTCTAACCAGACCTCCGTTTTCCCTCCTCTTACACCAACACCTGCAAGGTCATCTGCTGCTGTCTTCTGCCTGAGTCAGAAGGCAGCCACTTTGTAACTTTTCTGCCCTGCTTAATGAAGTCTCTGAGAAAACAGGTGCTTGGGTGTGCTTTGTGCCTGATGCAGGGTCTGGAAGGGAACCCCAAAGTGCAGGAAGTCCCCTTCCGGGTCCTAAGTGCATGCAGGTGAGGGACCTCTGCAGGGGACTGCCTGGTATTGGGTGCTGGAGTGTGGTAAGGCAGAAACACCCACATGGGGAGACGGCCTGGCATGTGGTGTGGAACTCCAGTACCACATACTTCAGTGGAAGGGGATTTTTAATAATCTCCAGGAAACTTCCTTCTGGAGAGGGCTAAAGTTTGCGGGGGGGGGGGGGGGGAGGGTGACCTCTGTCCACGTCACTACTTATGGCTGTAGAACTCTGACCAGTGTGAGAATTCTAAAGACCCAGTCTTCAAGGTTGTGGCATACATGCTAAGGTAAAGGAAAAAGCCACACCATGGTATTTATGAGTGTTATTAGAGCCAGGTGGTGGTGGTGCGCGCCTTTAATCCCAGCACTCGGGAGGCAGAGGCAGGAGGATCTCTGTGAGTTCGAGGCCAGCCTGGTCTACAAAGCTACACAGAGAAACCCTGTCTGGGGAGGGGGGCGGAGAGTGCTATTAGTGTGCTTTACAAACCCAGGTAAGGGACTGGGGGAGACGGCTCAGTGGAAAAACTGCTTGCTGTGCAATTGTGTGGACCTGAGTTCTGATCCCCAGCACCCACACAAAAGCATGGCTTAAGTGGAAGCCCGTCTGTAGTCCCAGTGCTCAAGAGGCTGACTTGGGATTCCCGGGCAAGCTAGCTAGCTAGCTGTCAAACCTGTGGTCTCAGCACACACGGGTCCTTCGCTACATAGGCCAGAACAGCTGCAGCCTGACATGCAAGCATTCTTTCATCCCTGGTGACATCAGCCTGGAAGGCTCCTGAGCACTTGGCTGGCGTGCTTTCTCACATGCTTTCGCGAGTGAGTCTTTCCCGTGCTTTGCTGAGGTGGCACTCTGCCTCCTACGTGACCGCCTTGCCCTGCCCTGTTAAGTCTGGTCCCGAGACCGTCAAGGAAGCAGTGGCCCAGAGCCGACACCCGAGGTCTCGGCGTTTCTCCTTGGCTGAGAGGAAGGCCTGCGGACGAGTTACAGCAACCCTCGTAAACTCTCCCTCCGATCAAAAGGGGAGGGATGGCGACCGCAAGGTGCGCGCGCATCTCCCGGGCCAGGGGCGGCGCCTCCGGGTTGGAGCTGTTGATTGGCTGCGCAGGGTCAGGCGTTGTGGGCAGAGTGGACGGGAGTAGCCCCGGGGGCTGTGAGTGATGGGCGCAACTCGGGCAGCTCCCTGGGTTGGGCTAGGTGTGGGATGGCGAAGAGCCAGGTAGGAGTGTGAGCCCCGGGTGCGGTAGAGCGGGGCTGAGGCCAGCCGTGCAGCCGCCGCCTTCCCCGCTCAAGATGCTCCGGGGCTTTAGCGGGGTGTTCAGTCCGCACCGAGTGCTGAGGGTCTGTAAGGGGGTAGTTTTTGCCGGGGTTACGGGAATGCCCGAGGTCTGTGCCCTTTAGCGATTCCTAGCAGGTTTCAGCCTGTCCTCCCTGCTCCAGACCACACTTCCTGTTCTGGAAAAGGCAGGGCGAGAGGCTTGGGCTGTTGGCAGTCCTGATACTTGAGGAGCAGCTTCTCCCACCCTGCATCTCAGGTGTGAGGGGGTCTGTGTGTGTGTGTGGGGGGCGGTTCCTGGAAGGAGGAAAGGGATTCGTTTATTGGAAGAATCAGCGCAATGCTTAAACATTGCTGGTGGGAAAGTAAAAATGGCCGAGACGTGGAAAACAGCTTGGTGACCCTACAGAAAGTTAAACAAAATCACATAAAAGCAAATTACTCCTGGATATGTACCCAGATCGAATGAAAGCAGATGCCCAAATATTTGCGCGCAAATATTTGCAAGCACTTTTCACACTTGCCAAAAGGTGGAGCCAACTCAGTTCTTCTTCAGTGGATGAGTTGGACACCAGCTGTGGTACACACAATTAAGTGCTTAGTTGGCAATAACAAGGAGTGAAGTGATACTTGAATGAGATGGGGACATTTTATTCAAGTAATCGGAACCACGCCAAGGTATGTTTGAGGAGGTGCTTATTGTGAACACGGGGGGGGGGGGGACAGCCAGAGGCATCAGGAAGAGTTCAGAGCAGAGAGAAAAAGTCGACCAGTGGAGACCAGACCATAGAGAGGAGAGGAGGGGCCAAGAGCCAGGAGGGCGGGGCTCTATTGGAATGAGAAGGGGGGCTGGGGGGGAGGGGCTGGTGAAGTTTAAGAGTGGGGGACTGGGATGAGAAGGGGTCAGTGGAGCCGGGTACTCAGTGAGCCTGGAGGCCAGCGACACTTTGGCATGTCAGTAGGCACGCATTACAGTTGGGCATTTGTCCTAAGCTTTCTTTTGAACCTGACCTTAATGGTTTATGCTGCACAGCGGGTGATTGCTCAAAACATAATGCAGGGACTGGAGCAGAAGACATGGGTTATAAATTGTTTAATTCCATTTCTATGAACTGTAAGGCAAGTGCATTCATACAGACAGCACGTTTGTTGTTACTAGGGGTGGGAAAAGGTTGGCTTGTGGGTGATAAGATTAGGTGTCATTGGTAAATGGTTACTAAGAGTTTTGAGTGATGAAAATGTTTTAGAAAAATGGTGGTTAGACGATATTGTGAATGTTCCAGATGCATTGAATCGCTCACTTTGGGTTGCTTCCATACTGTGAAATTCCACTCCAGTTAGGAGTGGAAATATGTGAAATAAACAGAATTAGCTTTTATATTCCCTGTCTTCCTTTCTCTTGTTTCTCCAGTGGCTCACCGTGTTTGTTCTGGCCTGGCCTGGGCTACTCACTGCTCTTGTATGAGACATGGTGCAGGGGGAAAGGGCCTGTTTGTCCTTTCTGGTCAGGCCGTCACCTGGGCCCACAGCCAGCGTGAGTCAGCGCAGTACACACTGCTCCTTTAGGAGCTCTCTGTGGTTTGGAAGCCTGAGTATCCCCACTGGAAGCGGTGGGGTGGGGTCAACCTCTGGCAATCTCAGAACAGAGTTTCAGTTCTTTAGATCCTGGAGCCTGTGACATTCAGTGTTCAAGAATCTGCCTTCTGCAAGTGCCTCAGAAACTGAGCTACCAGTTGTAGAATAGGACCCCGTGGCATTTCCCAGAGTTTGTCATGGAAACATGAAGAAGTCATGAGAGCTCGGCTTCACCTCACTGAGTACTGACCGTAGGCACAGAGAGACATTTCCGATAGATTCAGATTCATGTGAGGAGCCCACTGGACAGGAGGTTAAAGTGTGTGGGAAAACTGGAGAACAATGTCAGGTTAGCTCCCGTAGTGTGTGTGTGTGTGTGTGTGTGTGTGTGTGTGTGTGTGTGTGTGTGAAAAGTGGAGAGCAATGTCAGGTTAGCTCCCGTAGTGTGTGTGTGTGTGTGTGTGTGTGTGTGTGTGTGTGTGTGTGTGTGTGTGAAAACTGGAGAACAATGTCAGGTTAGCTCCCGTAGTTGGGGGGTGTGTGGTTGCATAGTGTGTGTGTGTGGGTGCAGTTGAACGTTAAGATGGGCTGTTACAGAATCTTGTGCTGGGGTCCTGGGCATGCTGGGTAGTTTTATGTCAACTTGACACAAGCTAAAATCTGAGAGGAGGGAACCTGAGTTAAGAAAATGCCTCCATACTTAGAGCTGGAGAGATGGCTCAGAGGTTAAGAGCAGTGGCTATTCTTCCAGAGGTCCTGATTCAATTCCCAGCAACCACATAGTGGCTCCCAAGCATCTATAATAGAATCTGATGTCCTCTTCTGGCATGCATACATGTAGACAGAGCACTCATATCTAAAAGAATACATAGCAAAAATTAAAAACTGGGCTGTAAGCAAGCTTATAGAGCATTTCTTAGTGATTTATGGATGACAGCCCAGCCCATGGGTTCTAGAAGAAAGCAGGCTGAGCAAGCCGTGGGGAGCAAGCCAGTAAGCAGCATCCTCCATGGCCTCTGCATCGGCTCCTGCCTCCAGGTTCCTGCTGTGTCTGAGTTCCTGTCCTGACTTCCTTCAGCGATGGACTTTGTTGTAAGAAGTGTAAGCCAAATAAAACCCTTCCTCCCAGTTTGCTTTTTGGCATCACTGCATTCCAGGGCGCCCTTTGTCCCATGCCCAGGTTAGCCAGAAAGCAAAGCTGCGGTTCTAGAGACACAGGGCAGTCGCCTCACTCTCTCAAGGGCTGTCTCTGGGCGAAGCGGGGGAGGGGCAATAGAGCAAGGTTAGGCAGTCTCAGCACTTAGTGCTGCTGATGCTGTGAGACGGCACTCAGCTAGCCTGCAGCGTCCCACCAGCAGCGAGGCCATTGGAGTTTCCACTGTGTCTTCCATCGGGTGGACTCCAAATGTGAGTCTCCTGCTCCTAAGCAGCTCTACTTTGCCGTGTTTGCAGTGCCCGAGCCTTTTAGCTGATGTTGAAGGTGGACTCTGATTTCTTTCAACTGCTTTAACTAGGTGTAAGGAGACTTGCTCTTCTCATGTGATTCTCTGTAAGGTCTGGCACTGAAGAATATAGCACGCTTCTCCTAATGGAAAACTTGAGCTTAACAAACACTTCATTAATTTATTTGGGTTTGAGTTTCAACTACAAACTATGGCACCAACAATAAAAGTACAAGACATTTGTTCCTCATGCAGGCTCTATGATTAAGCTTGGCAACCGCTACAGTGGTTTATTTTTTGAACAGTTTCATCAGTTCCCATAAAACAATGCCTACTAACAGTCATTTCCGTTTCCCCCCCCCTATAGCCCATGGCTACTTTCAGTCTGTTAACTAACCCATGATTTATGAATTCAGCACATTTCTTATAAAAGGAATTATACAACATACTGACTTTTGTGTCTTTCTTCTGTACCTCAGAATGGTGTTTGTCTGGTCCATCCATGTTATGTCATCTATCAAGACCTCATTATTTTCTGTGGCTGAATGAAATGCCAGCATATGAGTTATTACATTGTTTATTCAGTTTTGGATGGATATTTGTGTTGTTTTGTGCCGGGCTTTTCCATAGTGCAGCAGTGGACATTTATGTGCATGTGTATTTGTGGATGTATGTTTTCTTCTCTTGTTTATACCAAAGAGTGGAATTACATGGTACTTCACATTTTGACTTTCTGAAGAATGGCCAGTGTGTTTCCGAAGCAGTTACGCCATCTAGGATGCCCCTCATCAATGGGTTCAAATTTCACCATATCCTTAGCAACATTTGTTTTTGCTGTTTTTTTGTTTTGTTTTGTTTTTGTTTTTTTGAGACAGAATTTCTCTGTGAGCTTTGGAGCTTGTCCTAGAACTAGCCCTATAGACCAGGCTGGCCTTGAACTCACAGGGATCTGCCTGCCTCTGCCTCCCGAGTACTGGGAGTAAAGGCATGAGTTACCTCTGCCCAGCTATTTCTGTTTTTCTTTTTTTTAAGTATTATAGTTACAGCCATTCTAGTGGGTGTCTCTGAATTGTATTACCTGAGTAGGTACTGAGATAGAGCTCCTTTCCATGTAATTATTGGCTATTTCTGTTTCTGCTTTGCAGAAATGTGAAATCAAACACTTCTGCTAGTTTAGAACTGGACTGTTTGTCTTTTTATTGCTGAGGTGTAAGGGTTCCTTTTTTATTCTGGGGCCTCGTCCTATGAGATACATGGTTTGCACACATTCTCCTTCATTCTATGCCTTGCCCTTCCTTCTGTTTTCTTTTTTGATATGGGGTCTCATTATGGAGTTGAGGCTGGCTTCAACTCTGTGGTCCTCCTACAAGACTTTCAAGAAGACAGAACATCTGGGCTGGGGAGAAGAGTGTTCAGAGAGAACACAATGTCATACCAAAGCCAAGGTTGTTCTTGCTATCTTCCAGGTGCCTGCTCCCTGGACAGCTCAGAGCTACTCATCAGCATTTGGGTTGGTCAAAGCTTATGAGAGACAAATTGTCTGGGCTAGCAATAGCTCTAGAGCAGTTTTGCAGACAAGAGTTTGTCTGGGGTCATCAAGGTGCTAGAGGCCCCAGAGATGGATGTGGAGAGGGTCTGAAGACCTGGGAAGGAGACACCTGCCTCTGTCTGCTGAAGACGAGGAACAGCTCATGGCCTTGTGTCTACAGGAGGGGAGCTGTGGGCATGCAGACCTTGGCTGCCCTGGGTACAGCTGAGGCTTCCTGTCTGGTGAGAGGAGAAAGGTCCAGGAACAGAACGGACCAGCAGGAGAACAGAGAAAGGGAGATAGAGCCAGGAAGACAGAATGATTCAGAGGTCCCTACCCTGACCCCATGACAGTCCTACGGGGCCCATGGTTCAGAGCAAGCATGGGACAAGAGGCATAACACTGCAGGTAGAGGCCTAGATTTTATCAATCCAAGAGCGATTTGGGTTAATAAAGGGACCCAGCATTGAAACTGTTTCCGTTGCACACTGAGTCCCTGCTCAGGAAGCTGACTGTCCCCTGGGTATCTTGTAGAGCATCTTTCCTGGAAGTGACTTCTGAGAAACTGTCTCCCCACACTGCTGCTCAACCTCTCCATCACTGCCTTGGAATGGAAGGAACAGGTGACATGGACACCCCCTCCACTATCTAGTCTGCATCTCCTCATGAGGCTCTCTCTAAGATAGGAACTCAGAATAACAATCAAATAATTAGGTCACCACCTGTTCTGGTCAGCCCATCTCTACTGTCTACTCCTTTCTTGCTTAGGGAGTTTACAAATCCCACAGCCACCTTCCTACCATTAGAAGTAATCCAGTATCCTAAAGATGGCAGAGCAGAGAATGAAGGAAGTTGAGCGAGCAACGTCTCCTGAACTGTTCAAAACTCTAAGAATGTCTTACTCACCCATTCTGGACACACCCTACCTGAATACCTCTTGATCTATGAAACAAGAGATCCTGTTACAACAGAAAAGCAAACCCTTTCCCAGCTGGGACCTGCTACATAAACGGTTGTTACGGATCCTTACTCTAAAGATTATTTAGATGTCAGATTTACAGCTGTGGTCCGACACTGCAAAGTTCTGGGGCTCAGGACCAGGATTCTCTCTCTCTCTCTCTCTCTCTCTCTCTCTCTCTCTCTCTCTCTCTCTCTCTCTCTCTCTCTCTCTCTCTCTCTGTGTGTGTGTTGTGTGTGCGCGCACACGCGTGCGCGTGTGCACATGTGTGTGCTTGAGAAGCAGCTGAGTTTGGTCACAGAAAGATTTCCTTGTAACTCATTTCATGTAACTCCATGCCTGCTTAAGAATCATACCTCGCATAGTAACTCTTTCCCATTATAATCTGCCTGCTTTGCAAGCCCTGTCAAAGTTCTTATGCTCTCCCATTTAGCAGACCATAAGTTCATGACAGTTAAGACATCCTATCCAGAATTTGTTGCATCTCTAGATTAATCTGCCTACTGTAAAGTACAGGGCACTTCAGTAAGGGTTTTCTGAGGCAAAGACTTTACCCCTGGACTATCCAAAGGATGATGAACAAGAGAGGACTTACGAGTGACACTGTTAGAGACGACGGAGATACAGACCAAGGGTGGGTGAAAGGTAAGTGTACCAGCTCAGCATCATAGAGAAGAGGCATTACCTTCCCATACTTGAGCATGTGAGTGCTGTACACAGCAGGGCGGTGGTGGCGCACACCTTGGGTCTCAGCACTCGGGAGGCAGAGGCAGGTGCTCTCTGAGTTCAAGTGTGGATTCCGGGACAGCTGAGACAGGGCTTCTCTGTGTCGCTCCGGTTGTCTTGCAACTCACTCTGTAAACCAAGCAGACCTTGAACTCACAGACATCCACCTGCCTCTGCCTCCTGAGTGCTGAGATCACCGTCATACCCCCTCCCCCCACTGCCCGTGTGCTAAGTCATCTTTAGCATCCTTGTAGCATTGCTTTATAGTTATCAGCAGAGCACTGAACTTCTGCCCAGGTGACATTTGTAACAGGAACTCAGCCACTCTTATGGCTCCCATCTCCAGTTCTCTTAATCCTGGCCAAGACAGCGGCCTTAGACACTCTCTTCCGGTCATACGCCAGGCCCAGGGCAGCCATGCAGTCGATGAAGAATGTGGTGAAGTTGATGTGCCAGCGGTACTCACTGGCAGAGTAGTCATAGGGGAAGGCGTGGTGGTAGTTGTGGAAGCCCTCGCCTGGAACAGAAGCAAGGAGAGCAGTTAGGGGGCTCGGCCATTGCTGCTGCCTCCTCTTTGCACATCTCGTACCTACAAGGTACCTTGAACCTCAGAGAACTATGCCGCCATTAACTGAATAGATGTCTCTGGTGTCTTCTATCTGGAAGAAATAAAGTGAGCTCAGAGACATCTTAAATCTATAGCGGGATCTTACTGATGGTGTATCGGGTTTTTTGGGGAAGGGTGTTTCTCTTGTGATAACTGGATGAAGGAAGATGATTCTATTGGGAAAATGACTCACCTTGGAAAAAGCCAGAGCAAACATGAATACTGAACCAAGACCCCCCGGGTTCTGTGTCTGGTGGGGAGGGGAGGAATGTATGAAAAGTAAGCGAGCTCATGCTTCCCCATGCTATTGTGTTTCCTTTGTGGGAGGTTCCGACAGAAAAGGCAGCAGTCAAAAGTCAAAGGAAGGGAGGCCAAGGACCAGAGTTCCCCAGGCTCCAGGCAGTTCCCAGGAGGCTGCTCTCATCTTTGATCTTAGGTGAGGAAGATACTAATAGTTCAGAGCCACCCTGAAAATGCTTAGAGATTCCTTCCAACTGTAGATATTCTGGGAACTCTTGGGATGCGCATTCACTTTGAAAAGAAAATTCACATTTTTAGATGCAGGATAATTACTGTGGCGGACCTGACTGATTCCCACTGAAGTCACCTAAATAGCATAAAGAACAACTAAGGAGAGAGTTGGAAATTGATTATCTCCAGATAGATTAGGGGCAATATGAAAAATAAGCAGATAAAAGGCTTTTGGACCCAGAAACGCTCTAACCAGGGCTCCTAGTGGTTATGGATCCTATCTGCCCGCAGTGTTGCCCACAGTGTAAACTTGACCGGTGAAGAGCCACTGGCTAAGGCTGAGAACAAAGGATTGTAAGTTCTGTATTCAAGGCTCTGAGTGTTAGATTTAAAACAGAATGAGGCAAGGCTTATGTGTAGCAACTGGGACATCAAAAAAGAAATCTTCAGAGATCAACTTTCTTAGATAACTTGAGCATAGGACAGTGGGGGAGGTAATTCAAGAAACAGACAGACAGACAGACAGACAAACAATGCTAGCATGGCAGGAAACAGCTGGAGAAGAACCAGGGTGAGGCAGGCAAACAAAAGAGAAAAATACAGGTAAGACGCGATGGTGGGGTAAAGAAAAAGGCGGGCAGCCACTCTGATCAACCAGTCATGAGGACATGAATTGAAGAAGCTCACGCCACTTCTGGTCACAGAACAGAACACATCTCAGGCCACATTATTCTATGAAAATCTAATTGTAGAGTGAAAGTTGTTCATTTCAGGCAGATCAAAGTAAAAGCGTGTTCAGAGGGAGAAGCTGGAAAACTCGGGCAGGAAGATGAAAATATAATCAGAGTGGTGCACTTGAGGCCGAGTGAACTAAGTCAGAATGACTCTCTGCCTTTCACATCGCATGAGTAAATGCGATGTCTACCCTATTGGCCCCAATGTTCTAGTTACTCATTTCCTAACCCAAGTGAGATCCTGGCCAACCAGAGGTGACAGGAGAATGGCAAACTTAAAAAGGGCTTAATGTAGGCTGGGCTCAGTGGCTCACACCTTCAGTCCCAGCTCTTAGGAGGCTTGCACAAGTGAATCTCTGTGAATTCAAGGCCAGTTTGGTCTATATAGCAAATTCCAGGACATCCAGGGTTACATAGCGAGACCCTGTTTAAGAAGTGACTTGATTCACAAGGCATTTGGAGACCGTTTTGGAACCTGTAGCTTTTCACCATTTCTTTTTTATAGTAGGCATGTTGCCTGACTTCCATATGTGTTTCTGTATAATACCTAGTTGGTTTAGCTTTTAGTTGTTCTTTATTTTTGAGACAGGGTCTCACTAGGCATCCCTGACTGGCCTGCAACTTCCTCTGTAGACCGGACTGGCTTTGTACTCAGCCAATAAACTTTAGTTTTAGATAGAAGAACTGAGACACGAATTATCACTAAAAATAAATTTAGGAGCCACATGTGATAGCTCATACTTGCAACCCCAGCATTTTGGAGGCTGAGGCAGGCATACTGTTACGACTTTGAAACCAGCCTGGGCTACAGAGTGGGTTCCAGGACAGTCTGAGTTACAGTGTAAGATCCTGACTTAAACAAATCTTATCTGGTCTTTCAGATAGCAGAAAATCTTAAGTAGTAGACCAATTGGATGTGATCATGCTGTAGACAGTTGACTTACCCAGAGCTCCCATTGAAGTTAGCATATTCTCTCGGGCTCTAATGTTCTTGTCGTAGGGGCGATACCCATAGAGATGGGCGGCACTGTTCACCATCCAGGTGGCATTGAGCGCCAAGGCATACCTCAGTAACGTGGCAACACACAAGCTGTGTGGGAAAGTTTCACCCCAGCAGTACCAGGGCACCAGTGTGGGCAGGATGAAACACATCAGCAAGATGCCGGGCTTGTAGTACCTACGTGGAGAGATCACACACTGAGTACGGAGAAGTCTCTCTTTTTTTTAAAGATCTAGTTATTTTATGTATATGAGCGCTCTATCTGCACCTATGGCTTTTATACCGGAAGACTGCATCAGATCCCACTATAGATGGTTGTGAGTCACCCTGTGGGAGCTGGGAATAGAACTCAGGACTCTGGAAGAGCAGCCAGTGCTCTTAACCGCTGAGCCATCTCTCCAGCCCTAAGAGGTCTCTCCTACACACACTGGAAGCATCCACTCCTACAGTGGGCCTGTCCTTTTCCTCCTACCACTATGAGTATGGAGGAGGGGTGAGGGCAGAGACCATCAGAAGAGAATGGGGTAGGTAATATGCTGAACACAGGTCTTATATACATTTTAAATGAGACAATTTGGACACATTTAATGACTTTCCTAGGATCACAACACTAGAAACCAGGGTGTCAAGTATAGGACTACCTGTCTCCTGAAGGAAATCCATTTTTCGTTTCTTCAGGAGGACAAAACTTGTTAGTCAGGTCAAATACCAATCTCATCAGTTAAGATCTGATGCCTGGGTTCTTGTCCATCTACCTTTAGGTTCCTCTGTACCCACTCAGACAGGGTTTCTCTGTGTAGCTTTGGCTATCCTGGAAGACCTCTGTAGACCAGGCTGGCCTCAAACTCACAGAGATCCCCCTGCCTCTGCCTCCGAAGTGCTGGGATTAATATTCTGCATATTTTGCCTTGCATCATGATTATTTCATACTTGCCTTGTCTCTCAACCTCAATAGGATAGAAATTCCTTGAAGAAAAAGACTTTTATGTCTATGCCTATCTAGATAGATCAGTGATAGATCAAATTGCATTTAAATTGTGTTCATGAAAATTGCTTAAAGGGTGTGGAACTGAACAAGATTGTAAAGTATTGTTATGGCCCCTGAGCAATTAATATTGGTCTTAAACATGCAATCTCTCAGCTTTAATTTACACATTATATAAGGATAAAGGTAGAGTCTCTAAGGCCCAGGTGTCCTGGGCTCTATGCTCCCTTCACTCACCGCCTCTGGAACATGACCAGCTTCTCGGCTTTTAGGTCAGACATGTCCAGTTTTCTGCCCTTCTCTTTGACAGCCGGGTGTTTGCGCACAAGCAGCCAGCCCACGTGAGAGAAGAAAAAGCCACGGCGGGAATCGTGAGGGTCAGCGTGCGTTTCTGTGAACTTGTGGTGGGCGCGGTGGTCTCGGGCCCATTCATACACGTCATTCTGGAAGGACAGGAAAGAGGACCCCAGTATTAAGACGAGAAGCCCTCCTGGGGGAATGCAAGGGCCTGGAGCTCTCAGTCCAGCTCACAGAGTCCCAGAACTCTGACTACTAAGGGGGCCTGGGGAAGCACCCTCTCTAGCACACTTGCCCCCGAAGCTTATGTAGACAAAAAACTTATAGGCTCAGACTCAGGAAATGGTGCGGTTGCTTCCTGAGATTGCACAGTAGGAAGAAGGCAGGTGGACCAAAGCCCTCAATTTTGTTAGGAAAGAACAGCAGTTCTAGCAAAGAATGTCGGACAGGATCCTAATGGATGACCTAGTCCTTGGAGATGGGGAACAAGAAGCAGGCAGCCTTGGGGCCTGGAGTGTTGGTCTGTGAATACAGATGGGGAAAGCTCTATTTTGATACTTTCACAATGATAGGTTACTCAACTAGTAGCAAGACCAGTATGTAAATTACGAGCTTGGGCACATTTCCTAAGGACCTCTTATGTGGGACTCTTTCTAACCCTTTAATTATGCGCCAATAATATCAGCCTTTTCCCTTTCCTCCACAGACAACAGGGAAGTTCAGGGTGTAAACTCCAGGGAAGAGATGATTACACACATAGGTTGAAAGCCTCCAATATACCATGCAAGAAAATTAATTTTGTGCCCTGTTTTCTTCTTATCCCACGACGAGCCCCACACTGACACTGATGCCCTCCTCCACAGATGACAAGCTCTCTGGTGCCAGTTGCTATAACCTAATACCAGTAAGACTCCCTTCTCTAATTCCCTTCCTTCCGTGTTATATATGAATGCCTCAAACAGCCTCAGTAGCCAACATGGCAGCCACAGGTGGGATACCAACATTGGTCTGTGAAACTACTTATTAACACAATTTCATCATCTGAAATGAGGGATAATGACAGTGCCCATCTCTGCAGACACCCTGAAGACTTAATGAATGCATCTATGCCACAGGGCAAAGAAAACTAGAGACCCTTTCCTTCTGTCTCCCTGCCCAGCGACTGGCAAGTAACGCATGCTCTGTGGCCCTCAGAACTAAGCACCCACTTTAGTTGGCCACAGAAGACCGGGGGAGGTGATGGCTGCCCTGCTGGATCCTCTCAGGGCACTGATTCCCTCTGGTCTGCCCTGGACTGTCAGGAGAAGTGACACACGGAGCTGAGCAGGACCAGACACTCACCTGGAAAGCCATGGTGTTGGCGATGATGAGGAAGAGCCGCAGCGGCAGCCGAGCTTTGTAGGTTCGGTGGCTCCACAGGCGGTGGGCCCCGGCCGTGATGCCCATGCCAGTAAATACATATGACACACACGCTGTGGGAAAAGACAGGGGAGGTCACCAACAGGAAAGTTCATCTGCTAAAAATGCTAGGTAGGTAGGACACTTTCCAAAGCTCCATTGTGTCTCTGTAAGACTTGGAATGGGGAATCTGTTTTCTCATGAATCCCAGGGATGTCAGTAGAAGCAGGACCCTTTGACACTAAAGCAACAGACATGAGACATGTGCAAACATATGGACACATGGGCGGGTCATTCATGACTTGTGCAGCTCTCTGAACAAAGGGGGAGTCAAGCCTTCGTTGATTAGCTGAAGTGGCAGCACGTGGGCAGAGAGACCTGTCACCTTTCTGCAGAGCTTTAGGTCCATAAGCTGGGGTAGTTGCCTAAGTAACACGAAGGAGGGTCTACGCAAGCATGCCATGCTTACAGCGGGTAACCAGCTGAAGGTCTATGAGTTCATTTGCCTCTGTCCTTTGGGGTGTTTCTAACTGTCTCTGAGGCCAAAACTCATTGACCACTTGAAGAGAATACCAGCCCTTCACTGACTGTCCATCCAGAAATGGAGATGAGCTACGGAGGCCCAGGCAGGTACCGAGGAGTTAGGTCAGGGAATAGAGACCCAGTCATTGTCCTTGTACAGGGGCATTATACCAGGTCTTGTGTCCTTTGCTTTTCGGCTATCTTTCTCTAAGATAGCTGCAATGCTAAGGACCACAAATATGGGTGTTTATGAGCCTGCTCAACCTGCTGAATTAGAAGAAACCCAAGTAGCAAGGGACACACATGCAATGTGAAACTGGGACTACATAGCAGTCAGTACTATAGCATGCCATTACTGTAGTAGAAGCTTGGCTAGATCTGGGACAGCCAGCCCTGTATACAGTCACATCTGCAAAGAGGCTCAAGCTTCGCCAAGCATATTACTATTCTTTTTATTATTTTTTATTTTCGAGACAGGGTTTCTCTGTATTGTTTTGGACTCTGTCCTGGAACTCGCTCTGTAGATCAGGCTGACCTCAAACTTACAGAGATCTGCCTGCCTCTGCCTCTCGAGTGCTGGGGTTAAAGACATGTGCCACCACTGCCCAGCTGGATATTACTATTCTTATATTCACTGTGCACCTTAAATGGGTCAGGTGCTGCTAACGCCACATCACAGTTGAGGAAATAAACGAAGTGGCATGATCTTCTAGTCTGACAAGACTGGCAAAGTGGAAACATGGATTGCAGCTATGGTTTCTGGCAGCAATCCATTCTGGCTCCAGCTGTGGCATGACCTTCCAGATGACAGAGCCTACCAGTGTTGTCATGCCTCACCGACCTCAAAGACTACAGCTCAAGAGGCATTGTGTAATCCATGCCAGGGAAGGGGACACTGAGTGTAGCCATCTGTTCCTCTGATTGGTGACACTAACATAAAAGCTGGGATCTTGGTAAGAACTAGGCACCATACTCTAAGGGCCAGCTGGAAATAGTAGGTCCTCAAAGGCTACAGAACTTCAAGGCTGGAGATCCCACACATTGTATAAACGGTCCTATGTCCTTTGGAAGCCAGAAATAACAGATTACTGATGAAAAGATGGCAAAAAAGAGAGCAAACAGAACCTTGGCTTTGGGGTGTCACTCCACTTCCTGCATTAGCAACTGAGGCCTGCCAGACAGACAGTTTGGTCAGTCTCAGAATTGAACTGAATGAGGGAGGGTTCAAGGTGGAAGGGAACTAGCAGGGGCCAAAGCTAGTTGAGCCGTCCTTCCTAGGGAGGAGGAAGAAAGGAGGTCCATAGTCTGTGGGGGAATGTTACCATGTTCTGGGCCTATTATGCTGCAGTTCAAGTTTGGGGTTCTCAGAGGAAGAAGAGGACAGACACCACCCAGCACCTCAGCAGGACCACAATCTTTGACCTACAGATGTGACATCAGGCCTGCTTTATATGGGAGTGTGACACTATGTGCTGAAACAAACTGAAAGTGTGCTCCAGGCCACTTGAGGAAGGAAGTGTTCCCAGATGCATTGACCTGAGAGACCTGGAAATTTTCCAAAATGAAGCTACAGAGTTCAGCTTTCACCACTTATAAGTCCTAAGGGGACTGGACCAAATGCAGCTAACATCTGGCCAACTAGCCTCTTTCTGCCACTACCCTTCAAGAGAAAGTTCCCAGAAAGTACCCACACCTGACACTGCCCTAGACAACCTCTTCCCAAAGAGAACTTGCCAGAGCAGCAAGTGCTCCTGCATCTATCCAGGTCCTGCTCACTCTCCCTGTTCAGGGTTCAGGGGTCACAAGGGAAACCATCTGCAAAGCATATCTGTAGACATCAGGGTCAGCACTGCCGTCATCCCACGCCCATGAATCCCCAAGGACCTGAGCCAAGGCAGACCAGGGACACACTGTCTTTCTCAGTACAGCAGCCTGAAGGTTGGGCTACTCAAGGGTTATAATGTCTGCTCAAGAACTATGTGTTGGAGACAGGGAAGACATGTTAGACGGTGCAGCATCCACAGCACTGGAAGAATTGAGATGAGCAGCATCAGGCTGGATGGGGAATGGGACATCAGACACTTCTGCAATCTTGTTTCATTGTGAGGACATCCTGGCCAGCATGTGCTGCACCCTGGAGACCTACATGGAATAGGGGAGCCTTACACCTGTGTACCTAAATTGCTTGGGAGCCCATTTCATCTTCCTCCCAGGCAAACCAGCCTCATCTGGACAGAGGGTAGGGTCCAAATAGTTGTCTGGATGACTCTTTTCTGCTTTCTCCTGTACAGTCTTCCTTTGCTTTGTGCTGACTGGGTTCAAAGCGCAGTTCATGAAGCCCCTGGACCAGTACCTAGGGAGGGCCTACTTCTCTTGTGGCAGGCAGGGACAGGACAGGCAGACAAGCAAGGGACTCATACAGAAAAACTTGTTCAAGGACAGTTGCTGCTTTGTCTCATGTCTGTTCCTCCCAGCCACCATGCGCATGGGCTCAGCACCTATGTTAAGGGAGTCCCAGAACTGACACTCTTGCATTCCAATCCAACGATGCTCTTTTTCCAGCCCAGCCAATCCCTCGGAAACCAAAGGGAAAAGGATGAAACATCCCATACAGAACACGGCTGCTGACCTGGGACAGAGTGGACCTCATTAAGAAAAAGGGAGAGACCAAGAGCACTGGCCCAAGACGAGGGGAGCTGCTCACCGAAGAGCCAGGTGTAGACCTTGCAGGACGGAACCAGTGTGATCCCATACAGGGCCCCCAAGTGCAGCAGCACCATGAGGATGATGTTCCTCCAGACGTACTCCAGCTTGGGCGGGGGGCCCTCCTCATCCTGGTAGCTGGGGTCGTATATATCTTCTTTCATTTCAGGGCGGATGTCTTCTCCCCATTGTTGGAGAACCTTTTCTAATCTCTCCCCTTCGTTCTTTGGCCCCGCAAAGAGAGGCTTTGTGATGGTGGTGGTGGTCGTGGTGGTCATGTAGGAGCTGTACAAGAAGGAGTGGAAAGTGAGTAGAACATTGCCCGAGGGAAACCTGTGTTCTTCAGTGTAGGACAGGGAGGAATGGAATACAAGAGCAGGCAGGGCCCCGTGCCCAGGGAAAGTAGGGTTCGCTGGAAGGGAAGTCCCATCAGACTATGAACCCAGGAAGAATGCAATACAAGAGCAGGCAGGGCCCCGTGCCCAGGGAAAGTAGGGTTCGCTGGAAGGGAAGACCCATCAAACTATGAACCCAGCTAAGAACAGATTGCACAGTGAAAATGACTTCTTGATACAACTTAGTCATGGAACTAGAAAGCAGAGCAAGTAGCTGCGTTTACATGATTCAAGGAACTCTCATTGCTTCGTTTTTTAGATGAGGCCTTGTATTATCTGACCTGCATCTCAGAATCCCACCATCCCAGCCTCCTGAGTATTGGGATTTCAGATGAGTGCCACTGGGCCCTGAACCAATATTTATGATAGATTCCAGATCTGTCATATAATAACTGAGGCCGGGAGTGGTTGGCTGTACCTGTAATCTCTGCACTATGAAGCCAGAGGCAGGATGATCGGGATCTCACAGCCAGGATGGCCTATAAGAAGCACCTGGCCAACCTGAACAAAACCCAACTTAGGAAATGAATAGCTTTCCCTTCCATGAGCAGTTAAAAACTTGCTCACAATGAGTTAATTAGGCAAATGCAGGCTAGAAAAAATTTATAAATGAACTTTTAAATCTTCTGAATTATCTTTCCTCTAATGCAAAATCTCAAAGTTGTGTTATACTAAACTTATTTTGATGGAAATGTGGCTATAGAACGTAAAACTATGCTTCCATTGTGGAATGCTCCTTTACACTGTGTGATGATGCGTCACCGTGGTTGTTTTAGTAAGGAGTTGCATGGCAATAAGTGGGCAGTAAGAGATTAGAGGGGACTTCTGGGGACAGAGAGCACTTAGGGAGGAAGGCAGGCAGAAGCAGAGAAAGGAGTGTGAGCAGACAGAGAGATGAAGTGGCAAGCCACGTGACAGAATGTAGATTAAAATAAATGAGTTAATTTAAGTCATAAGCTCTAGTGGGAAAGGGTAAGCTACGGTGGACCTTCCAAAATTAACAATAAGTCTCCGCGTCATTACCTGGGAGCTGGCGGGAGGGACAGAGGAAGACTTGCTACAGGCTTCACAGCATGCTTGTCATGAGAGTGAATCCTTCGTCTTTGTTTTCTGCTTATGGATCCCAAATATTTCCAGATGTGTCTATTTCAATGTCGTCCCACCCAATCACGAAGAATGAGAACTACTCAGGTCCTGAAGCCCCCAAGCTAGAGCTAGATGACTCTCCCCTGCCTGAAGTGTGGGTCACACACAGTATTCACCAAAACATTTCCCACAGAAGCAGACATTCTGATTATACAGCCAAACAAAAAGGCTTTTTGTTTGTGTTGTGAACAGCCGTCCTCAAAGCCATCGGAACGAAACTCCTTATCGCAATGAAACTCTTGGTCCTATCTCCTTGGCATACCACCTCTTTTACTTCACAGGCTTGGTGTACAATTAACATTTGAATCAAATTTGATCTATCCTATCAAACCCAAATATTCCCATGACCGTTGGTATATGTGACCTTGGGTGATTTGGCCCATAGGGACCTGAGCTCAGCAGCATGTCAAGTCTGGCTGTGAGCATACGCTCAGTTACCTACTAGTTTACTTGGGGGTCCCATGTTATCTAAGCCTATGTGAATAACAGGGAGTCACTGCATAGAAAAGCCCCTCCTCTTTTTGCAAGTATTCTGGCCCTCAGATGCCCAGAACTCACCAGCGCTTAGACCACAGAGTAGAATTCCAGGACTGAAGCTGGATTTCCGCTTCAGAGTGTGGGCTGTGCAGCAAGTCCGGTGCTAAACTCGGAACCTGTCCTGTGTCGTATATACACAGGGGCTGTCCAGGTTCAGCTACACTGTGCAGGCTGTTGCCCAGAGCTGCTTATTTAAACGCACTGGATGGCCAAGTCCTTTGTTTCCTCATACACCTTTATCCCCTGCCAAAAGGGGCAAGGTGTGCGGAGGCAGCTGGCCTACATAGCCGCAGGCAGAGATGAGGGTGGAAGAATGCAGGGAACAAAAAACCCAGGCACCGGCCAAAGCCCAGCGATATGATGTTGCGTTCGTCATCACATGTGATCGGAACACACTATGTCACCAAATCCTGCCCTTGTCTTTTCCCTCAAGAAAATGTGAAGTGGGTTTGAAGAGATGGCTCAGTGATTGAGAGCATTGGCTGCTCTTCCAAAGGTGCCAGGTTCAATTCCCAACACCCACATGGCGGCTCACAACCGTCTGTAACTCCGGTTCCAAAGGACTCTACGCCCTCTTCTGGCCTCAGAAGACACCAGGCACTCAAGGGGTGCCCAGGCGTACATATAGGCAAAACACCCATACACATAAAATAGAACGAAATGGCTTTTAGAAAGAAGTTAATACATTTCGCAAGCCTGGCCTCCTCATTGGTCTCATTAGTCAAGACTATTTGATGTTACCTTACCCAACCATTGTCACTGGCTCAGTTTCATCTTTTGTCCTCTAGGCTGAGAACTTTTTTCTCTCCTTCCCTTTTTTTCCTCCTCCTTGTCTCCTTCCACTGACCACTGGGCTTCTCCTGTGGGCATGGGAACACTTCAGAGATTTTGTTTGAGAAAACAGTATCTAGTTCAGCAATACAAGCCCTAGGAAACCCTGGCTCATGGTGAATAGTTGGCCAATGGGGACATTACACAGGGGAGAATGAGAAAGCCATGGTGGCAGTGACCACTCACAGCTCCCCCAGCCTAGCTGTTCTCCCAGGAACACGAAAGGGAAGAAATGGCAATGATTTTTCAACCAAGGGGTCAGTTGTAGCCCTCACGTGTAGAGGAAAGCTCCTAGCTCAGGGAAAAAATAATGGCACTGACCTTCTCACCAACTCTGAATGCTATCCAACCCTGCAGCGACACACACACACACACACACACACACACACACACGCACGCACACACACACGCACGCAAGCAAGCATGCACGCCCTATACTTAGTTAATGGGCAGGCTCTGCAGTGTAAGGGACTTTCTGCCAGGGCGTTGGTTCCCCTGGGTCCACTACCTATGACTATGCCCTCAGAACATACTGGGACTTTTTTGTTTGGTTAGTTTTGCTTTTCGTGACAGGGTTTCTCTGTGAAGCTCTGGTGTCCTGAAGACCAGACTGGCCTCGAATTTACAGATCCACATACCCCTACCTACTGAGTGCTGGGATTAAAGGCGCATGCCACCACACCTTGATGCCCTCTGTAGAATTTTGAGGTGTTTTTGTGTAAAAGAGGCAGGAAGCACAGACAGGAGTTTATACCTAGCAGCGGACTGAAGGAGGCAGGCTATGGAATAAGAACAGAGAGCAGATACTGAGCGATCTCTGTGAGAGTCATTGTGTTGAAGCCTCACCCTCTGAGGTGGCTACTCCATACTTTGGTTTTTTAAGGGGTCAAGTGGAGTTATCAAATGGCTTGGTCATGGTCACACCAGCTAGTACATGGTAGAAGTAGGAGTTCAGAGAAGAAATGTCAGGCTGATGCCCAAGTTCCTGAAGCCCAGTCCTACTGCCCCATGCCTCATGGCAGGGCTGGCGATTTGGAGCCCACTGCTCTTCGTTTCTCTCCCACAGATAAGCTACCCTGAGCAGCTCTCCTTAGCCTCCCTCTCGGATGGCAACTTCGCGGTGCAGGCTGCAGGGGCGGCGCCTCCTGATTGGAGCGGGCACGGGCAGAGCCGCAGCGCGGCTGCTGATTGGCTGCTCGGGGTCGGGTGTTGTGGGCCGAGTGAACGCAAGTAACCTTGGGGGCGGGTGCTGACCGAGAGTAACCCCGGGGAGGGGCCGCACGCCTCTCCCTTTGTCACCGGCGGCCCGCGTTAGGCTGCGAGCGGGCGGGCCGGCCTGGGCAGAGATCGGGCGTGGGAGCGGGGCGGGGCTTCGTGCGCCTGAGCACGCACCAGCGACCGGCGACACTGCCGCGTTTGAGCACAGCGGCGGCTTCCTCCTGCCCCAGGTCCCAGCTTTGTAGGAGTCAAGCGGGGTTCTGTGTGAGGTCCAGGGGAGGGCTCTAAGAAAGAAGTTTGTGGAGATCCACGAGTGGATGTGGCGAGTGTGCCTTAGTGACTCTGGAGGACAGGCTGCCACCTCCTGTAAACAGCCTCAAACAGGAAGAGGCTAGGTGACTTCTCCTAGCCTATACTTCGTGGGTAAGGAGTTTGGAGACCCGTCAGGGGAGTGGGGATAGAGATATGTTCAGGCACTATGGCAAGCAGGTCGGTGACCCAAGAAGGGTTGAAGAATTACCGCTAGAGCACACAGCTCCACTCCTGTTGCACACCCGTCAGCTGGAAGCAGATACTCCAGCAACCGTGCAACCTGTTACACACCCGTAAGCAATCGTGCAATGTTCATTGCAGTGTCTGCCACCGGGCACACAGGGCCAATAAACTCGCCGCCTCAGTTTTCTCATTGTGATTAATTTTCATTGTCAGCTTGATTGTATTGAGACTCGCCAAAGAGATACTTCTGGGGTGTGTCCGAATGGGCCGACCGAGGAGGGGGAGAGCCACCCTGAATGTGGGTAGCATCTTGACACACGCTGGGTGGCATCTGAACTGAATTTAAAAAGGCAAAAGGAGGTTGGGCAGGAGCGCTCCTGACTGCTGATGCCATGTCACCTCATGCCTCTGCTGGTGGAACCGGGCACCTCCCTGACATGCCTTCCCACGTGAGCCAAAAGGAAAACTTCCTTCCTTGAGTTGCCTTTGTGCGGTATTTTATTAACCGCCAGGAGAAAAAACGGATACACCTGTGTTTCCAAGGAATTAGGAAATAGACATTGGGGAAGGAAAATGGACCTGTTTACAGTTTGACCAAAAGTGTGAGGGTCTGCTCCTCCCCCCACCCCCACTGAGGCTGTTCATCTTACAGTCTGTAGAAAACGAAGAGACAAGCTAGAATGCATGCAAATTTAGTTGCGAAACGGTTAACTAGGGAAAGGCGACTGCTCAGCTGCTGGGGAGGTGGCTCAGTGGGTAGTCCTTGCCAGATCGGCCTGAGGCCCTGACTTCAAACCCAGACCCCAGGTAAAGTCAGATGTGGTAGTGCCCACCTGTAATCACAGGCTCTCATAGTGAGATAGGGGACGGAGAGACCGACGAATGCCCAGGAGTTCCCAGGCCAGCTAGTCCGGCTTAGGCAACACTGAGAAAATGGATAAAGAGACTGTTCTATTATACAACGGGACGCTAGTAAGAAAAGTATAAAGAAGGAATACTGATTTGTGCTACACTGTCAACAGATGTTGAAAGAAGACAGCCAGATGTGGCGCTCACACAGCACATGAAACTATTTCTGCGAACCAAGAGAAAAAGGGAAATCACTTGTTGCCAGGGGTGGGGAATGGCTTGGGGGGTGAGAGGAGGTCAGGGTTTGGGTGGTGCTGTGACTCTTTGGAGTGAGGAAAATGTTTTGAAACTAGGTGTGCTTGCTCCACCACGGTGTGAATGTACAATAAATATGCCATAGAATCATTTGCTTCAATTTTCTCATTTTTACTTTATTTTTTAAAATGTATTTATTTAATGTACATGGGTGCTCTCTCTGCCATGCTTATGGCAGAGGGGACATCAGATCCCACAGTAGATGACCATGTGGGTGCTGGGAATTGAACTCAGGACCTCTGGCAGAGCAGCCAGTGCTCTTAGCCACTGAGCCATCTCTCCAGCCCCCTCATTTTTACTTTAGAAGAAAATTAAATGATTTACAGTTGACGTAGCTTGTACCAAAGTCTTAAGGAAGATGGAGGAAAGAAATGTGCTAAGATAAAACTCCTAGGATCCCAGTAAGGCATGTTTCTGACCTGATTATCAACAGCACACTGAGTGTAAACACCACTGTATCCAGACCAGCAGCTTGTGGGAAACTCAAGCACATCAGGACTAGTGTGGCTTGGGGATGCAGTTATAGTCTGTATAGAATGTTCACATTAAATGGCTAATTTTGTGTTGTGGAAATCCGCATAATTTTAAATGGCTATAACAAGGAAAAAAGGGGGCGGGGCCAGGGGCGGGGCGGGGCGTCTTCTAGGTCATCTAGATTTTGCTAAGAAATAAGAGGTGCTATGAGCATTCTTACACCCTCTGCTGGCCTTGTAAAAGAACTCACTTTCCTTTTCCTGACCCTGAATATTACTGCTTCCTATGAGAAATGGTCCGGAATGAATACCCCTTTGGGTTTTTTGAGCAGGTCCTCACGTGGTCACGTATATACCACGAGTCATCACAGCCCACCTGCTCTTCTATAGCTTGGGTGGAGAAGCCTAGGGAGGGTAGTTGGGTGGGACAGAGCTGTGTCCCAAGGAGGAAGTTCTTTTGTTTCCAGCAACTCCAAGGCACACTCTGCATTCCTTGTGATTATTACCAGAATCCCTTGCGCCAAATTCAGTGAACAAAATAAGTCTTTGCCTGCATCACAGAATGTTAATATAGGTCACAAGACTGGACTTATATTCATGTGACCTCATACTCATGTGACATTTACCGTGTTCTGTAGTGGAGCTAGACCCAAACACTCCTGAGATGTGTTAATTTCCTTGTGCACTGTCTAGGCACAGGGAGACTTTCCAGCAGAGGGAGGTGCCCTTGAGGAGCTGAGAAGGTAATGGAGTGTTCTGTTGTTAGAAAAGAGTCAAGCAAATGTCAATCCTGTTAAAACTCAGCTGTAGTTTAGTGTTAAGATATTCTAATGAATCCAAGCACTCGGGAGGCAGAGACCATGGGTATCTGTGAGTTCAAGACGAGGCTGATATACATAGTGAGACCCTGTCTCAAACAAGCAAGCAAAAGGTTCTGTAATAACTACTTCCACACTAATTTGGCTAAATAAAGAACTCAACCTTATTAGTCACAACGTAATGGAGGAAGGATCGACTGGAACTCAGAGTTTCAGAGGCTGGGGTCCATCCCAGCAGGGAAGTCACAGGGGAGCAGAGCTCGTCACATCATGGGGACACAGACAGGGAAGAAGCCCCTGATTCTGGGCTCTGCTTTGCTTTTCTCGTTGACTGTGAGTCAAGAATCTTCAGCACAACAACCAATAAAGCCAGGGTCGCCTGTTTATGCTATTTTCCAGAAGACTCCTCAAACACCGATGTCATAACAGCAGATATACTTTTTAAAGGCCAGAAGGTTTGTGACCTTGTGGCTTGGCACTCCTGCCTTCTCCCTAAATCAAAACAGTGTGCCTCGTGAAACCACCCTACAGTTTCATTTACAAAAGGTTCTCTAAGACAAGGAAAATAAGCCGGGCGTTGGTGGCGCACGCCTTTAATCCCAGCACTCGGGAGGCAGAGGCAGGCGGATCACTGTGAGTTCGAGACCAGCCTGGTCTACCGAGCGAGTTCCAGGACAGCCTCCAAAGCCTCAGAGAAACCCTGTCTCGAAAAACCAAAAAAAAAAAAAAAAAAAAAAAAAAAAGACAAGGAAAATAAACCAGTGCGTGGAATTTTAACATTTAAACCATATTTTAAAATGTAAGCCTCACTTGGTCTTCAAGCCTTGTTGTAAATTATGTCCTTTGAGGAATGCAGCTTAGAGAGCTACCGGATCTTCCATGGGGAGAACACTCATGCCAGACTCATGTGTGTCTTTCTGCGGCCTCTGTTACCCTCTCTTGTCCTTTGAGGGATGCAGCTTAGAGAGCTGCCGGATCTTCCATGGGGAGACACTCATGCCAGACTCTGTGAGTCTTCCTGCGGCCTCCGTTACCCTCTCTTGTTCAGCTCCTTTTCGTATTCACTTCCTTTATCTTCCCAACTAGTCTCCTACCTTCAAATCTTTAAACAAGTATTTATTTATGTATGTACGTTACGGTGTTACGGTGTTTTCTTTTTTCTTCTTGCATGTGTATATTTGTGCAGTACCTAGAGAGGCCAGAAGGAGGCACCAGACTCCCTGGGACTGAAGTTATAGCCAGCGTGAGCTGCCACATGGGTTTTGAGAATAGAACCTAGGTCTTCCGGAAGAGCAGTGTTGTTCTCAGCCACTTAAGCCATCTCTCCAGACCCCCCACTTCTATTTCCATGTCTTGTAATTTAATTCTTATTTTTATATAGTCAACACATTTCACTAGAATTACATGACCATGGTAACAGGTTTGTTTGCAGAAGTGTGGACGCTTTACCAATGACTACACCAAGAAAGAAAGAGAGAGAGAGAGAGAAAGAGGGAGGGAGGAAGAAAGGCAAGCTATCACTCTCTCATGAGCCCCACTCTTAGGCATGACGTGATGGTGACCGGCCCAGTCTTGGATAGATCTTGGGTGGTTAATCACGACTGTTGTAAGTTCAAGCGTGCAAGGTCCGTGCCGTGCCTGGAAGGCAGTGTTATGTTCCATCGCTGCCTTCCCTGGGGCTCTCAAATTCCTCCTGCTGCTCTTCCATGTTACTCTCCAAGCTTCGGAAAAGCTCCTGTGGTTGCCCATATTCTCAGTTCTTAGGCAAACGGGGCCTCTGGTGATACTGCTGACCACTGCAAACAGAACCTTCCCTGACCAAAGCTGAGCAAAACATACTTGTTCAGAAGGGAATTTGACGGACACACAGCTACAGGCTTAAAAAAAATAATTAAGCCAGGCGTTGGTGGCACATGCCTTTAATCCCAGCATTTGGGAGGCAGAGGCAGGCGGATCTCTGTGAGTTCGAGGCCAGGCTGGGCTACAGAGCGAGTGGCAGGATAGGCTCCAAAGCTACACAGAGAAACCCTGTCTTGAAATCCTCCAAAATTTTTCATATGTATGATACATGTATGTGTGGGGTGCACATGCAGGCCACAGGACAACTTTTGGGGGTCAGTTCTTCCATCTTGTTTTGGAGGCAGGGTCTCTCTTGCCAAGCTACTCTGGGCTAGCTGGCTGGCAAACTTCGAGGGAATTCTCCCTTCTGTGTCTCCCATCTCTCCATGGGAGTACTGGGATTACAGAAATGTACCACTATATTCATCTTTTTACGTGATCTCTGGGATTGACCTTAGGCCATCAGGCTTTCACGGCAAGCTCCTTTACCTGCTGAACCATTTCCCTGGGTCAGCTGGTTACCCCCAACAGACTTGCTGCTATTGTACTGGTGAGCACGCATGCTGCTTGGCCAGTTAGTTTCTGAATACAGGGTCCACAGCTCAAGAAGACTTTGATGAAAATTCTTCACTAGCAGCCTGCATAGCATCTTCCAGCTATTCCATTAAATCAATTATATGTGCAACAGATATTCACTGACCTAGGATAGTCACAAACATAAAATTTAACAGGAAGGAACGAGGCAAGGACCAAAACACTGTGGAGAGATGCTTGGAATTTATCAACCCAATTTGGACTAATAAAAGGACCCTGCTTTGAAACTTTCAGAAGGACATCGAGTCACCCACTAAGAAAGTTTTCAATTCAAACAGCCTTTCCTTAAACATCGTCTCCAAGCATCTGCCTAATGACACCATCCCTCAACCTTTCCATCTCTGTCTTGAAATGGGAAGAATTTCCCTGCCAAGCTCTGGAACTCAGGACACTGAGGAAAGAGGCTGTGTGTGTGTGTGTGTGTGTGTGTGTGTGTGTGTGTGTGTGTGTGTGTGTGTGTGTGCCTTTAATCCCAGCATTGGGAGGCAGAGGCAGGCGGATCTCTGTGAGTTCGAGGCCAGGCTGGTCTACATGAGCTAGTTCCAGGACAGCCTCCAAAGCAATACAGAGAAACCCTATCTCAGAAAAAAAAAAAAAAAACAAGAAGAGGGAGGAGAGAAGGACTGAGCAATAAAAGAGAGATTTGCCTTTTATTTAACATTAGAATATTTTACAAGAATACAGTCTTGAAATGAGACACTTTAGAACATAGATGGTATTTTTCAGGATTTAAGCAACATCATTAAATCTCTGTTCAGATGGCTTTGGGAATAGAAACAAAGACAACGCCAGACTCAGCCACTCTTGCAGCTCCCATCTCCAGTTCTCTTAATCCTGGCCAAGACAGCGGCCTTAGACACTTTCTTCCGGTCATACGCCAGGCCCAGGGCAGCCATGCAGTCGATGAAGAATGTGGTGAAGTTGATGTGCCAGCGGTACTCACTGGCAGAGTAGTCATAGGGGAAGGCATGGTGGTAGTTGTGGAAGCCCTCGCCTGGAACAGAAGCAAGGAGAGCAGTTAGGGGGCTCGGCCATTGCTGCTGCCTCCTCTTTGCACACCTGGTACCCAGTGCATAAGAGAACACTTTGTTGTTTAGTGAATGGTTAACGCACTGCCTTCTGCTCTGAAGCAATGAGTTGAGAAGCCTTGGTTGTCTTTAATATCTGAAAGCAGGTTGGAAGAAAATGTGTCTCTAAGGCTAAGAGGGTAAGAATCTGATTATTCTGGGGGAATATTTTATATTGCAAAATGCCGGAATGTCAGTGTGCTCTGAGATGCTGTAGGCTCCTGGGCTGTGTGTGTTTGATCAGGAGGGGAGCGTCCAGTGGAGGATGGGTGTTTCTGTTTCTTTCACAGGAGAGCAGGGAGCACAGCTTTCCCCATGGGGCTGGTGCACCCTGTAAGTGCAGGCAGCTATGGCAGAAAAGGCAGCAGCAGCTAAAAGTCAGGGGAACCAGGGCTCAGCCGGGGTGGGACTTCTCTCAGCCTTTGCTGGCTCACAGTCACTGCCATGCTGCTGCTTCTCAGGGCTTTGACCCCGGTGCAGGGGGCTCTGACAAAACAGAACCCTTTAACAAAGGTTTCTTGCATCATCTGCTATTTAATTTTTTCTGACATTTCTGATTTTTTGAATAACAATTAGTTACTTTCATAGGAAATAAAATTGAATATTGAATTGGGTATTTACATAAACATGTTGCAAGAAACAAACCGTTGGAGCCAGCCTGGCAAACCAAGTTTGATAAAAGGAATCCACACAAAGGCGGAAGGCCAGAATGAACCGTACAAACTTATCCTTTGATCACCACACAGACACTGTGGCACGTACTACCCTCCCCCATCAGCAACATAGCCACGCCCACTGTGATGGCTATGGAGGGGCTGAGACAGGGTTTCTCTGTGTAGCCCTGACTGTCCTGGAGCTCCATTGTAGATTAGGCTGGCCTCGTCTTCAGAGATCAGCCAAATGACTGGGCAATACAGTGAGGGATTTTGTTTTGCTTTTGGGTTTTGTTGTTGTTGTTGTTGTTTGTTTTTTTGTTCTTTTGAGACAGGGTTTCTCTGTGTAGCTTTGGAACCTGTCCTGGCACTTGCTCTTGTAGATCAGGCTGGTCTCGAACTCATAGAGATCCATCTGCCTCTGCCTCCTGAGTGCTGGGATTAAAGGAACGCCTGGACAGTGAGGGATTTTTTTTTTTGCATTAACTAAATCACTTGAATCGGGAATATCCACCTCTAGTCCGGATCTTTGAGGTGGGAAGACCCAGCTCTAAGCGGGTCACACCTTCTGTTGGAAGCCTAGGAAAAGACATGCAGAAAGGAAGCTTCTCTCTGCACACTTACTCTCAGTCTCACTAGCTACCTTGCTGCATGCTCTTACCCTCCCTCACTAGCAAGACTAAGCCTTCACAAGCCTACTTCTTTGGGATTCTAGCTATAAGAAAGAAGAGCTGAGATACCTGGCCTCTGGGCTGAACAAGTACTGGAGTCTTGGCCTTTCTGTTCATAGGCAGCGCCATTGTTGGACTAGCTGGATAACAGCCTGTGAGTCATTCTGATATATATATATATTAGAATATATATATATATATACACACACACACATATATATATATATATATTCATTCTTTCTTTAAGTTCTATTACTCTAGAGAACCTGACTTCTCTAAAATTCTTGATTTGGATGAAAATGTGTCATTTGTACAACACTGAGCATTTAAATGAATATTTGCACAAATATATTGCAAGAAATATAGACTATAGCTTCAAGAGGTATAAAAAATCACTTTTAATCCCAGCATTCAGGAGCCAGAGGCAGGCAGATCTCTATGAGTTCTAGGCCAGCCTGTCTACAGAGTGAGTTCCAGGACAGCCAGGGCTACACAGAGAAACCCTGTCTCAAAAAACAACAAAAAAGTATTAAAATCTAACTTCCTTTTACAACTTTTATGTACATAGACAAAAAATATCTGGGAATACAGATTAGATACCATCTACCATCTACATATATAGTGCTATGTTTTATAGAATGGGCAAAAACATAGATTTATCATGAACTATAACAACACAGATAAAGTCCTTGACTATGGGGGTTTAGATTTATACATTGTTACTGGCTGGGGTTTGGATTTATACATTGTTACTGGTACTAGCTGTGTGATCGGAGCTGCCAGGAGATAGAAAGTTCAAGTCTGACCAGGACCAATTAGAAAGATCTATTGGGCGGGGGCAGCTCCGCAAATAGCTTATTGATAGAAATTCAAGGTCAGCCTGAGCTACGGATGAGCCCAAGGCCAGCCTAGACTACACAGTGAACTCTTGACTCACAATGCAGAAAAGTACAAATAAGGCTCGGGACAGTTCAGTGAGGGAGCACTTGCACAGGGCTGCAAGTGTGGTCCCTAGTTCTTCAGGAGAATTGGGATAAAGGCAAAAGGGGAGAGAGAGAGGAGGAAGAGACAGTGAAAGGAGAGGAAAGGAAGAAGAAATTGAAATCAGTATGGGAGGAAATGGGAAAGCGGAAGATGAAGTAAGGTCGGGATGAGACGGGGTGGGGAAGAAATGACAATAGGGACAAAGCAAGGTGCTGGCAGTTTCTTACAGCAGCCATGTCAGGAAGAGCCTGAATCTGGGAAAGATCACTTCTGTTTTACTCACAGAACACATCTCAGTCCACGGGGTACCATTTCTATGACAGTCTAAGAATTGCAGGGCGTAGGGTAAGTAAATAAGATTTACTTAAACATTGGTGAATAGAAGAGCAGACACAGTGGTGGTGGTGGTGATGCCTGAAAGTTGGGTGACACGGGTGTGTGTGTGTGTGTGTGTGTGAGTGAGTCAATACTCTGAGAATGGCAGGCACACTTTTAAGTCCAATAACAAAGTCACGACCTTCCTTTTCTTTATATAGCATGGCTGGTAGGGACACAGTAGGCTCATTGTATTCTCCATCGATACTATTGTTACTGTTATGTATTCTCCATCTATACTATTGTTACTGTTATGAGTCTCCTGACCCAAGCAGGAAGAGCCCAGCCCAGGGAAATGAATCAAAGATGGTGGGAGAAAGGGTAACTTAGCCAAGATCATTCAGAGGTTTTTTTTTTTTTTTTTTTTTTTTTGTCTGTGTTTTTTGACCTTCCAGTCAAAGGCAGCATTTTTTTTATCCTTTCCTTTTTTTACATAAAACATGTTGCCTGGTTCTCATGTTTTCCCCTAGTTTTACAGTGGGAGATGTTTGACACAAAGCGCTTATAAAAAAGATGCTTCGAGTCTTCCTCACAGCTCACCAAATAAGGAGATGGACTGAAACAAAAAAAGAAAAAAGGAAAAGAAAAAAAACCATGACTGCTCCTAGTTATGGCAGCGGCAGTGAGGGTTATTGTAGACATATTGGAGGGCATAGCCAGACGCAGGGTCGTCTGGGAGAGTCCAGAGTGGACATGACCAGACTGAGCCGTGCCATGTGAGGAGAAGGGGGAGAGGAAGGGATAAGGGAGATAGAGGAGCCAAAGTGATTCATTAGATTATACAGGGAAGAAGAACCCAGCACTCTGGGCTGGACCGTTCAGGGTAGGGAGTGGGAGATGCCAGCTGGGGGTAGGGTGGGAAGAGGGGGGCTGTAACAAGCAGGGGCTGAGGAAGGCAGGGGGAACTTGGTGGCCAGGTTTGCTGTGATATGTTAAAGACGCACCTTGGCCTTTTGTCCCAGGTTCGAAACCTAAAAGAGACTACTGAAGGCACTAACGCTAAAGACTGCTGACTTACCCAGACATCCCAGCGAAACCAGGGCGTTCTCCCTGGGATCAATGTTCTTGTCGTAGGGGCGATACCCATAGAGGTGGGCAGCACTGTTCACCAGCCAGGTGGCATTGAGCACCAAAGTGTATCGCAAGAAGGTGCTAACACACAAGCTGTTCACGAAAGCTTCACCCCAGAAATACCAGGGCACAAACGTGGGCAGGATGAAACACATCAGCAGGATGGCGGGCTTGTAGTACCTGTGTGGAGGGATGGCACACTGAGTACAGAGAGAGGCTTGGCTCTTCTCAGTAGGGGCTGTTAGCTTTCCTGTTACACCATGAGTGCAGGTGTGGGGTGGGAGCCAGTCAAGAAAGAAGAGGGTGGAAACTTTTTTCAGTACAGAGGATTATTATCATTTTCAAGGTGAGTCTCCATTGTTCTTATTCATAGAGGGATAAGGCCAGTTACCCAAAAAATCAGGACCAAACCACACCCTGAGCCCGTGAGGATGCCTGGGCTGCACCCCATCTGCCCCTGAGCCTGCTTTCTCTCCTGTCAGGGTCCATTTCCTGCTAACTTCCCCCCTCAAGGCCTTCGCTCTGCAAAAGTTCCAGGAAGCATAATGGATGTCCTTGATCTCCTGCAGGCTCTGTCCCTCTGCAGGCCTTGCCCCCATCTTATTTCCACACGGACAGAACCACTGATTCCCTGAGAGAACTGATTGATGTCCCTTCAGCAGTCCTGTCTCAAACATTCCGGCCAGGGGCGTGGCCTGAGTCCAGCTTTTCCATTCTTTCTCTGCGTTCCTAACCTGAGTCCTCTCTAGTCTAATTGGTGTCCTTTCCTCGCCTCTCAGGCTCAATATCTTCTTCACCTGACCTCCCCTGCCCTCCTCTGCCCTCCCCTGACCTCCCCTGACCCCCTGACCTCCTCTAACCTCTCCTGCCCTTCCCTGACCTCCTCTGACCTCCCCTGCCCTTCCCTGACTTCCTCTAACCTCCCCTGACCACCCTGCCCTCCCCTGCCCTCCCCTGCCCTCCTCTGACCTCCCCTGACCTCCTCTGACCTCTCCTGACCTCCCGTGCCCTACCCTGCCCTTCCCTGACCACCCTGACCTCCCCTGACCTCCCCTGACCTCCCCTGCCCTCCCCTGCCCTCCCCTTCAAAGCCCAGCTCTGATTGTGTCACTTGCTGTTGGAAAAACAAGCTCCTGGTTGCCAACTGTGTGAATCCCATTTTTGTCTGAGACACTCGAGATGCCATCAGTCTTTTTGTCACCCCTTTTCCCTGTCATACCTTGTAGGTCAAGGAAACAGACTATGTTTCTGGATCATGCACAAGGCTTTAGCTCATCTTTGTACTTCCTGTCTGTACACAGATGTGCAGGACACTGTCTTTCCACTGTTTCTGGTGCTGCGTTTTCTTCAACACTTCCTGTGTCCCCTGAGCCATCTCTGGCCCTTTCTTCCTCTCGCAGTACAGACAGTGGTTTTTGTTGTTGTTGTTGTTTTGTTTTTGTTTTTTGTTTTTTTGGTTTTTTTTTTTTGGCCTGGCTTCATGGTGACTTGGTAAGTATATTATTCCTCCGATCTATAGGCTAAAAGCTCGGGAAACGGAAGGGCACAGTTGAATTCATTGTGTCTGTGGCTATCCTAGGTCAGTGAAAATTTGTTGTATTTCATTGCGTCAGTGAAAATAGTTCAGAATGAAAGCAACAGAATAACACCCCATAACTGTGGACATCCAAGCGATTAAGAACTCAGGCTTGAAATGATGATCTCTTTGTTTTTATTTTTATTTTTTGGAAACAGGGTCTCACTATGTTACTCTGGCTGTCCTGGAACTCACTATGTAGACCACGCTGGCTTCAAACTCACAGAGATCCACTTGCTTTTGCCTCCTGAGTGCTACGACTAAAGACATGTGTGCCACCACATCTGGCCAATGGGCTTTTTAAAAAAAAGATTTAAAAAAATTACTTTTAATTGGTGTGTGTGTGTGTGTGTGTGTGTTTGAGTGAGTATATGCCGCTTGTGCACGTGCATCTGTGAAGGACAGGATTGTGTCAGATTCATTAGTGCTAAAGTTGTGGGAGTAAGTCCACCCGGGAGGGTGCCAGAATCTGGATTAGGGTCCTCTGGAAGAGTAGGAAGTGCTCTTCACTGCTAAACCAGCTCTTCAGTCCCCAGGGTAGCTTTGTTTTTGAGACAGTCTCATTATATAGCTCTGGGTAGCCTGGAACTGCCAGAGATCCATCTGCCTCTGTCTCTCCAGTGCTGGGATCACAGGCCTGTATCACCACACTCGGTTGAAAGCATGGTTTTGATCATATGAACCTAGAAATCCATTAGCTATTCTCAGCGCTAAGAGAAATGTGCCTCTCTTGAAGCCCAACCTCCCAAGCTCCACCCCCCTCACTCACCGCCTCTGGAACATGACCAGCTTCTCGGCTTTTAGGTCAGACATGTCCAGTTTTCCACCCTTCTCTTTGACAGCCGGGTGTTTGCGCACAAGCAGCCAGCCCACGTGAGAGAAGAAAAAGCCACGGCGGGAATCGTGAGGGTCAGCGTACGTTTCTGAGAATTTGTGGTGGGCGCGGTGGTCTCGGGCCCATTCATACACGTCATTCTGGAAGGACAGGAAAGAGGACCCCAGTATTAAGACGAGAAGCCCTCCTGGGGGAATGCAAGGGCCTGGAGCTCTCAGTCCAACTCACAGAGTCCCAGAACTCTGACTACTAGGGGAGCCTGGGGGGACGCCCTCTCCGGCACACTTGCCCCTGGGAAGCTTATGTAGGAAAGCAACTCAAAGGCCCAGAGTACAATAATAGCGCCGTTGCTTTCCAGAGTTGCATAGTGGGAAACAGGAGGTGAGTTTTAGTGTTCAGGGAGTTTCATTAGTAGAGAACCCTGTGACTCTTCAAACAAATAACAGGAGACAGGGTTCCTCTTAAGAAGTCTGATCCAGGGGCAGAGAGATTATCAAGCAGATGGCCCTGGGCTCCAAGGTTCTGCTCCGTGGTAAAGATGCAAAAACTCCATGTCAACGGCTTCACAAGTGGCATGTCACCCAACTCAACAGGACCAACAAATAACCGATGAGCCTGAGCACACTTCTGAAAGGCCTCAGCTTTTCTGAACTTATCCATCCCTTCAAGATTGTGTCAGTGTTTCTCTTCTTTCTTATTGTCCTCCAAAGACAGAAACTGGGAGCCTTCACCTTGTAAATTGTCAGAGCAGAGGTGATTACACACGTGTGATAAGAACCTCAGGTATCATTGAGGCAAAATAACTAATCTATTTTCTGGTACTTTTTCCTCATGGCCCAAGTCAAGTGCCATACTATAAGCAACAACCTATGGCTAGGTGGGTCCCTTTTCCTTAACTTCTTACAATCTATCCATTACAAGTGTGTTGCAGGAACCATCTTCAATGCTTGACCTACCCATCATGCTAGCCCTTGAAAGAACAGCAAGGTCAGTTTATTAATGGCAGAGTGACTCAGTTTCCTCATCTGTTCAGTGGGTAGAACACTAAGGCCTACCTCCTGGTGTGGTTATGAGGTCTAAGGAGTTAACCAGTGTCCAGTACATGTGACTATAGACATGTTTGCTCTTATTATCTGAAATGAAAGACTTCTTGAGTCTGTGACACATTCACTCCAATCCCATTATAGTAGAGTCCTAAGACGGGTAGAGCAAAGCATGACTTCTTGTCGGCTGAATATTTAGGGAACCATAGTCAGTGTCTTGATAATGATGTTCTAAGGTCCTTTACACCAAAGGACCACAGGGAACTTGCAGTGAAAAAAAAGTTACGTTGGAGAACCTATTCTATTTTCTGTAACCCTTCCCAATGACTCTGAGGTGTTCCGTGTTGTAGAGAGCTCTACACCAAGCATGCACTTGAGAGGACCACCAAAGACTACCTCTCTGGGTGCTAATGGGCTCCACTCTGCCCCTGACCATCCATAGAGTAGAGACACAAGAATGACCAGTGCCGACTTCTCACCTGGAAAGCCATGGTGTTGGCGATGATGAGGAAGATCCGCAGGGGCAGCCGAGCTTTGTAGGTTCGGTGGCTCCACAGGCGGTGGACTCCAGCTCCAATGCCTTCAATACTGATCACATAGTAGACAAACGCTGCCGGGACAGCAGAGGGGTCAGCCAATGGGACAGCAGAGGGGTCAGCCAACGGGCAAACTCAACCCGGAGAAGCAGACCCGAACACTCCTCTGGGCTTGAAGGAGCATGTAGACATCATAGCATTAGCCACCTCAAGAAACCATCATCACCCCCCCAAAAAAACCAAAACAAAAAACAAAAAAACACTCCACCTAGGACTGTATGTGGGTCAAGAAGACCCAGACCCAGGCACAAAGTGGGCAGGAAGGCAGGATGCCGGAAAGAAAGCAGGCTGTCAACACTGTCTGGCTTTCATTGTCAGACCATCGGAACATTTTCCCAGGTTCCAAGAAGGGATTTCCTAAGTTGCGTTTTCTTGGAACACTGGGTGGATTCCCCAAGACAATGCCTAAGGGCCCAGGTCTCTCCACCTGCAAGATGAAAGAGAGCCAAGACAGGCTAACGCTGGCTCTTCTCCAACAACACATTCTGAGGTGGGGGAGTTGTCAAAGAGTCCCAACACCTGACTCTGTTCCCCCAAACTTCCCAGGAGCATCTGGGAAAGAATGGCTGGCTCACCAGCTCTCAGAGAAAGCAAGGGGTCCCGGGTCTGCAGAGCTCCCGGAGTCAGGGCTTGTGTAGACCAGAAGCCTTCTTCAAGGCCCTATTCTCTGGTATGCCTGTCCCTGCCCGGGAAGGATGGGCAGAGGATAAAGATAACTGGTCTTAGAAGACGTTATTGCCATGGCGTGATACGGCATCAGGAGAAAGGGACAGCTGCAGGCTGGGTAGAGGAGAGAGCACGAAACATTTCTATGATGTAAATATTCACAGAGCATCTTGTTGACTGGCGTGTGCTACACCCAGACCTACCTGGAGTAGCAGAGCCGTTCATCTGTACACTTGGCTGTGATGGGAGCCTGCTTCGCCCTCCTCCAAGGCAACAAGCCTGGCCCAGCCAGGGTCTTAGGTCTGAATGGCTGTGCGGATAAGCAGCCCTCCTTGTGCTCTCCTTCCCAATGACTTCTCTTCCTGCGCAGCATCTCCTGACTACATTCCCTGACTGAGCTCAACATTTAGCCCATAGAGTCTCCTGGGTCCCCTAGGCAGGGCCTGGTTCTCCTGTGGCAGGAAGGGCTGGGACAGGCAGCCAAGTAAGCGGTCCACACAGAAAAGTTTGTTGGGGCTGCTTGCCTCATTGCCACAGTGCTATACCCCTCAGTGAGTCTGGCACATGGTTTCAGAGCTTGGTCCCCAACACTCATGTTAAAGCTCCCCCAGGGGTTAATGCTGTGACACAGTGGTAGAGCACCTGTCTAGTATGCCCAAGGTCCTGTGCTTAACAAAGATCAACAAGACATCCCAGGCCACTTTTACCAGATACAGTAGCTCAAGATGTACAGCAGGCTGAGGCAAGAAGATTACCATGGGTTCAAGGCCAGCCTGAACTGCATAGAGAGTTTCAGGACAGCCTAGGTAACAGAGTAAGGTTCTGAAAATAAATCAAACAAGCAAAAACAGTTGTGGTGATGGACATTGTAATCCCTGTACTTGGGAAGCAGACCCAGAAAATCAGAGGCTTAAGGTCGTTCTGCCATGGAGCAAGGTCCCAGCCTGCTCCATTGAGAACCCGACGTGTGTGTGTGTGTGTGTGTGTGTGTGTGTGTGTGTGTGTGTGTGTGAGAGAGAGAGAGAGAGAGAGAGAGAGAGAGAGAGAGAGAGAGAGAGAGAGAGAGAGAGAGAGAGAGAGAGAGATCCCAGTACACAGAGAAAGGTTAGGGAAAACTGAACACAAAGGGGTCACTACCCATCGCAAGACCCTCGTCATTAGAGGGAGGGGAGAAACTTGAGACACTGGCCCAGAACAAAGAAAGGAGCTTACCCCAGAGCAAGGTGTAGACCTTGCTTGAGGGAACCAGCACAAGCCCATACAGGGCCCCCAAGTGCAGCAGTGCCATGAGGATGATGTTCCTCCAGACGTACTCCAGCTTGGGTGGGGGCCCCTCCTCATCCTGGTAGCTGGGGTCATATATGTCTTCTTTCATTTCAGGGCGGATGTCTTCCTCCAGGTACAGGGGCACTGTCTTCTGCAGGCTTTCAGAGGGAGGTTCTGTGATGGTGGTGGTAGTGGTGGTATATGAAGAGGTCATCTACAAGGGTAGGGAGTGCAGAATTAGGAGCGCAGTCTCCAGTAGGCACTTCTGGCATGGAGCTGGCAGAAGGGTGCATTAGGGGTCCATCCCCCCATCCCAGGATCGGGTTTGACTAAGGGCTTGACTAAGAAGAGGTCTGCAGATTGGTTGTCATCTAACCTCCAGGTGAAGGGGCAGTAGGAGAGAAGAATGAACCTCTTAGATCACTAACAAGCCAAAGAAAGCCTGAAGGTACTGTCAGGACCGGATAAGACTTTAAAGTTTGGGAAACAACAATTGGGAAATCAAATGTCAAAATGCGATCCACATCTCTACCAGTTGATGGCAGTACAACTTAGAAAAGACAATGATGGGGGCAGGGACCTCTCAGAGACTAGATCCATCTGGACGGAAGGTTACAACTGAACTTTAATTCGTCATCTTTGTTCTGGTTTTCTGTAAAACTCTATCCCAAAGAAATTCTGCGAGCAGCTTTTTCTCTGATTTCAAAGTGTGGACCCTTTGAATACAATGTTAAATTTCCGGGCTTTATTTACACTAATGGCTGAATAGACCATTTACATGTAGTCTGATGGCCAAAGGGAGGGGCACAAGTGACTCTAGACTATTTCCTCTCTTGCCAGGGCAGTTTGATTCTCTTTCTTTAGTTTTAGACAGTGAATGAGGGTGATATGCTGGATTTGCTCTAAGTTTCTGAAATATGGCCTGACTTTGGTGGTGCACTCCTTTAATCCCAGCACTTGGGAGGCAAAGGCAGGCGGATCTCTGTGAGTTCAAGGCCAGCCTGGTCTACAAAGTGAGTTCCAGGACAGCCAGGGCTACATAATGAAACCTTGTCTCAGAAAAAAAAAAAACTGAACTATGTCAGTTTCTGAAACAAATAAAACAGAAGTTGGAACAAAGATCAGCACGCATTAAATTGTTGTCTGATAACCATGCCTAAGAATCATTTCTCCCCACACAACCTCTTGGTCTAAGTTACTTTCCGTAGGGTTGGCATGAGTGACTATTTTTGTTGCTGGCTTTGAAATAGGCTCTTGCAATGAAGTCCAGGCTGACCTCAAACTCATCATCTAGCTATAGTCTCCCAACTTCCCCGATCCCAGGCAGGTTCCTCCATACCCATCGTAAATTGATTTGATTCTGGTAGCTTTCTCCCTGGCTTTGAACAACTTTATCTGAAGACATCACTGGTTAACCAGTAGTTTACTTGGGCATTCTGTGTTTCCAGATCTGACCTTGGTGGCTTGCTCTGACCCCACACTGGAGAGTGTCCGGGTTGAGGATTATTATTGTGATGATGATGATGTCACCTTTACACAAACTAGAGGAACCTCAGCCGATAAAACGCCTCCATCAGATTGCCTGTAGGAACCTCTGTAAGGTGTTTTCCTGATTAATGATTAATATGGGAGGGCTCAGCTTACTGTGAGGGTCCTGGGTTTTATAAGAAGCAGGCTGGTCAAGCCATGAGGAGCAAGCCAGGAAGCAGCATTCCTCCATGGCCTCTACTTCAGCTCCTCTCTTCAGGTTCCTCCCCTGACTTCCCTCAGTGATACAAGTGTGACGTTGTAAACTGAAATAAACTCTTTCCTCCCCAAAGAGTGATTAAAAAATCACATCAATGGAAACCCTAAGACAGGAAGTGACAGATATTAAAGAGTCAGTGTCAATAAAAACCTCTTTTATGACAAATTCAGGCAACAAGTGGTTAGAATGCTCTTAGGTCAGTCTCAGCTGGAGTCCATTCTTGAGTTGAATTCTGTCTGTCCTGTGGGTTTATATTCTAGCATATTTAAAAAAATACTATTTATATTATTCTGTTAGAAATGGTGCATTTGTACAACATCAATAGTCAGGAGTTACCGAGTTACAAAGTTGGGTTCTGTCTGTTTGTTTGCTTGTTTTATTTCTGAGACTGTCTCAGGCCAGGATAACCTTGCAGCCAGGCAACGTAGGTAGCCAAAGATAACCCTGAACTTCTAATTCCCCTTCATCCATCTGCTGAGTGTTAGCATTACAGGTGTATAACAGCAATCCACTTTTGGGGGTATATATAATAATGAAGTATTTCTTTAACTAAACAAAATAGATGTACACTAGGGCTTCAAATAGCAGAATTACCCACAAGGCAGACCTTTTTCAACTGAGTGTCTTCGAGAAAAACAAACAGAAACTCTGGAGTTAAATGAAATCATAAATCAAATAGACCCCACACATCTACATGATACACCATACACATGGTTTATCTTTTTCATTAAAAGCAATAAATTTCTTTAGTGTATGTTGTAATGTCTCCATTTTTATCTCTAAACTTATTCATTTGAATTTCTCTTTCTAAGGGTTAATTTAGTTAAAAGTCAACTTCGTTAATCTTTTCTAAGAATCAGTTCTTATCTCATTCATTCTTTGTGTTTTCTTTCCCATTTCTATTTCCTTAATTTCAGCTCTGATTTTGGTTATCTCTTCCCATTCTCATTTTCTTTTACTTTTGTTCTTGTTTTTCTGAGGCATTCAGGTGTATCATTAAGTTGGTAATTTGCGAGCTCTTGAATTGTTGATCTAGGCACACAGGCTGTAAACTTTCCTCAGGATTGCTTTCCTTGGGTAGGGTTGAAGTCTCATGGGTTTTCTGCTGTCCATGTTAGTTATGTATGCTGTTGTCATTGTTCAGCTCATGTTTAAGTAGTCATATTGGTGAAACTTTATGCAGTTATTGTAACTTATTATAAGGCACAGTCTCACAGCCTCCATGATCCTCTAATTCTTACAGTATTTCTGTCCCCTTTACTGCAATGATCCCTAAGCCTTGGGTATGGGAATTGTATGACAGATATATTTTTTGGGACTAGGCTGTGTAACTCTGCATTTTGGTTGGTTATGGTTTTCTGTAAAGGTCTGTATTACAAAGAAACATTTCCTTGATGAAGCAGTGAGGACTACACTTATGTCTGGGTATAAGAACAAATATTTAGAATGTAGTTAGGGACTATGCTCATTTAGTAAAGTGGCAGTTGTAGGTTCTTGTCTAAGAGCTGTGACTTCATTAGCCCTGGGTAATTGGCTGGGTTTCTAGTACCAGACATTATTTCCCTCTTATTGGGTGGGTCTTAAGTTCAATTAGAGAGCCATTGTTTACCACCAACGTGTGTATGCCACTACTGCACCTTAGGGATATCATGCTATACTGGTTATTGTTGTGGTCCATAGGTATTGGATAGGAAGGACCATTGGTTATTTCCCTTCTTGGGAAGCTTCTGTGGCATCATTAGGTACCATGGAAGCTCGTCCTTAGGGAGGAGGCTCTCAGGTCAGTCCAGGCCTGTGTCTGAAGTGTATGCTGTCTTTAGCAATAGAGACTTACCTTCCTCACGTGGGAAGCAACCATGGGCAATCACAATAGCCTATAATATTTTAGGAGTCTCTGAAACAACCATGACCAACACTCAAACAGGTTTTTAGAACTCTTTTTATTAAATATTCTAGAGTTGTTTCACAACAACAATCAGTAGTCTTCCCATACACAAATGACAAGCATCATAGGAAATAAATCAGAGAAACAACACCACCCATGGTTGATGGGGAAGCCCTGTGTACGTGCAAATGAAGCACTGTTGGACAATAGGAAAAGCAAGGTAGGTGGGACTAGGAGTCTAGGAGGATTCTGGAAAATGTAGCGAAGGGAGCTGTCACCATGTGATTCCCGGGAAAAGGGGAAGCAAGTCTGCATTCTCGGAAAGATAAGTCCTTATAAAAATATATATTGGTGATTATGGGTCAATAATTAAGTCAGAGCTAGCCAGTGAGAAACAATAACAAATGGCCAACAGCTTATAATTAATATAGTGTCCTGTGTGTTATTTGGGGGTTCAGACAGCTCGGCAGGGGCCAGATGGCTGGCAGGGAAGACAACACGTTACACATGATAGCCTCACAAAAGGAAGTGAAAGATTTGTACAGTGAACATTTTAAAACATTGAAAAAAGAAATTAGAGAAAATACCAGAAGATGTAAAGACTTCCTGTGCTCATGGATTGGCAGGATTAATACTGTGAAAATGGCCACTCTGCCAAGAGCAATCTATAAATTCAATGCAATCCACACCAAAATTACCAAGCAAGTCTTTAGAGAAATTAAAAACAAATGATTTTAAATTTCATATGAAAACATAAAACAACCAGGACAGAAAGGAGGAGGAGGAAGAGGAGGAGGAGGAGGAGGAGGAGGAGGAGGAGGAGGAGAAGAAGAAGAAGAAGAAGAAGAAGAAGAAGAAGAAGAAGAAGAAGAAGAAGAAGAAGAAGAAGAAGAAGAAGAAGAAGAAAGTTCTGACAACAGCAGAACAAAAGACAAAGCAAAAACAAAAAACAAAATCTACTGGTATCATCATTTCAGATTTCAAGATATACTACAGAGCTATAGTAATAAAAAGAGCATAAAATAGATACACTGACTAATGGAATAAATTGGAATACATACATATAAACTGATACCCCTAAAGCCACTAATTTTTCAGAGAAACTTGCTCTGTAGGTCAGGCTGGCCTTATACTCAGAGATCCATACATGCCTCTGCCTCTGGAGTGCTGGGATTAAAACCCTTCTTCTGGCCTTCATCAGCACTTGGAATATACATCCACATAACCCACATACAGGCATATACACATACATAAAACATCAATCTCTTTTGTTTTAAACTTCTTTTTTTTTAAGATTTATTTATTATGTGTACAGCATTCTGCCTGCATTTGTCCCTGCAGGCCAGAAGAGGGCACCAGGTCTCACTATAGATGGTTGTGAGCCACCATGTGGTTGCTGGGATTGAACTCAGGACTTCTGGAAGAGCAGCCGGTGCTCCGAACCACTGAGTCATCTCTCCAGCTTCTGTTTTCTTTTAAATTTCTGTGGTGACTTGAAAGAAAATAGCCTCCAATGGGAGTAGCACTATTAGGAGGTATGGGTTTGTTGGAGTAGATACGGCCTTGGAGGAAGTGTGTCACTGTGTGGGTGGGCTTTGAGGGACCCTATGCTCAAGCTATGCTTAGTGTGTCTCAGTTCACTTTCTGCTGCCTGAAGATTAAGATGGAGAGCTCTCAGCTCCTTCTCCAGCACCATGCCTGCCTGCAGGCTGCCATGTCCCACCACGATGATGACGGCCTGAACCTCTGACACTGTGAGCCACCCAACTAAACGTTTTCCTTTGTAAGAGTTTCGTGGTCCTGGCTGCAGGCTAGTCAGTGGACATTCTGCAGAGCAGGATTGCTGCAGAGGGAACTGTTCTCAGAACTCCCAAGGCAAGCCACACAGACAGCAAGACCTTCTGCATCCTACCAGATGACACAATGGGTAGAAGAAAAACTAAAGGTGCCATGAGGTTCCTTCCAAGCCCCAAGGGAGTCTCAGCTTGCCTTAACAATGTAAAGAAAAAGGGATGGGGGTACTTACAGGGCCCTACCCTTCCATGAGGGTTTACCAAAAGTTGCTGTGAGCCGGACACTTTTTTGTTTGTTTTTGCTTTTTTGTTGTTATTGGTTTTTGTTTGTTTTGTTTTTTGAGACAGGGTTTCTCTGTGGCTTTGGAGGCTGGCCTGGAACTAGCTCTTGTAGACAAGGCTGGTCTCGAACTCACAGAGATCCGCCTGCCTCTGCCTCCTGAGTGCTGGGATTAAAGTTGTATGCCACCACTGGGCGGGGCACTTTTAAGGTCATGCCCCATCCCAAAGAAGCTATTGGCAGTTAATGGTTATTGGGCAGCATTTTCTTCACTGGCGTAGGTCAGTGGTACAGTAAGTAACCCCTCACTCAAGTTCATATAAGTAGCCCTAATTAAAATCAGCAGGACACGGACACACACATATCTACAAAGACACGAAATTAGAAGGAGGATTGGCTAGGAAGAATAAGGTAACAGAGTGGGGGGTAGCAAAAAGAGGGTAACGAGGAGTAAGTGTTATCAACATACATTATACACATGTATGAAAATGCTGTAATGAAGTACAACTGGTAGGGGGGGCAGGATAGATTCCTGCAGGTGTTCACATGAGCCACGGCACTCTCATTCAGGCATACACACACACACACACACACACACACACACACACACACACTGACAGACACACACAGATACAGACAGACACACACACAGACACACACACACACACAGACACACACACACACACACAAAGACACACACACACAAAGACACACACACATACACACACACACTGACAGACACACACAGATACAGACAGACACACACACAGACACATACACACACACACATACTGACAGACACACACAGACACAGACACACACACTGACAGACACACACAGACACAGACAGGCAGACAGACACACACACACAGACACAGACACACACACACTAACACACACACATAGACACACAAAGACACACACACAGACACACACACACTAACACACATAGACACACACAGACACACACACTAACACACATAGACACACACACAGGCACACACACTAACACACACAGACACACACACTAACACACACACACACAGTTAATGTAATTTTAAAAAGTAAAGAGACCATGCAAAAGAAACATATTAAAAGAGAAAGAAAAATAAACATTAATTTTTGATCACCTGCATGGTCTTAAGATTTTTCTCTAGAGAAAGTAACTGGTAGTAGCACCAAACATAAAGAACTAAAAGTGTCCTGGAACTCACTCTGTGGACCAATCTGGCCTTGAACTAACACAGATGCACCTGCCTCTGCCTCCTGAGTGCTGAGATTAAGGACATATTCTGCCACATCTGGGCTAAAATACACTTTTAAAGAAGAGACAAGGGACTGATTCGTTCTCTACATGCCCCCCTCCCCATTGGCTCTGAATGTGCTAGGTGGGACATCAGTCACATCAGCCTTCGGTATCTGAAGAATCTCATGATTTCCTAACAGTATTTTCTCATGCCTGAAGCCTCAGAAGAACCTTAACCCCAACCAGTAACCTCCTTCCTTACTGACTTTTAACCCTTGCCAGTCTCTCTGTAACATGCCAATGACTTTTTTAAAACGCATAATGGAGACTTTCATGCTCTATGGGAAGCTGCTATTCTTTTACACCAACTGGTCTCTAACGCCTTTAATTTGCTATCTCCAGTTTCTGCTAGTGTCCAGTGGTTCACAGTTCTGGATCTTTTTTGGTTTGTGTTTTTCGAGACAGGGTTTCTCTGTTGCTTTGGAGGCTGCCCTGGAACTCACTCTTGTAGACCAGGCTGATCTGGAACTCAGAGATCCACCTGCCTCTGCCTCCCGAGTATTGGGATTAAAGGCGGGGGCCACCACTGCGTGGCCAGTCCCCGATCTTAAAGGTGTCTCCTTTCTTATTTCTATCTTGAGAGGGAGAGCAGAAGGCTTCCGAGAACTTAAAACTGTCTTGCTTAAGGCGCCAGCTTTGGGGTTGCCACATCACAACTGCATAGGCCTTGTACACTGTGTGTGGCTGAGGGCCAGGAAGGTGCACTAGGATAGCGATCAACTCTCCTTTCTTAATAAAAGACACCCTTTTGGTGAACGACTTCAGAGCTGGGGCTCTGGGTTCCCACCCTGGAAAGGGTTACATGTCCACTTATAATCCTGCTATTCATTTATCTCTCTTTTAAAAACGATTTCATTTTTACTTTATGTGTGTAAGTATTTGCCTGCATGTATGTAAGAGCATCACACCTGTACGATGCCTGCAGAGGCCAGAAAGTTCCAGATCCTCTAGAACTGGAGCCACAGACACTTATGAGCACCATGTGAGTGCTGGGAGCCCAGCCCAGGTCGTGGCTGTCCCATCATACATGTAACCTCATGACACATCTGAAAACGCCAGGTAAGAACAGAAAAGAGGATTGGACCTTATCCAGGGAGTCCTCCTGTCAACCCATCTGAAGACTCCTCACCCTTCCAAACACATAAGAACAGAAAAGAGGAACGGACCTTATCCAGGGAGTCCTCCTGTCAACCCATCTGAAGACTCCTCACCCTTCCAAACACATAAGAACAGAAAAGAGGAGCGGACCTTATCCAGGGAGTCCTCCTGCCAACCCATCTCCTCACCCTTCCAAACACAGTCCTCCCTCTCTGCTCTTGACTTTAAGAGGCTCTGTCCAAATCCCCTGTGGCAATCACCCCAAGAAGGCCAGCACTCACTCCTGGAGGACGCATTTCCCTTTGTCGCTAAAGCACTCTCATGGGTCCTTTTCTGGTTGATTTTTCTTTTTTAAGTGAGGACAGGAAACTAGAAACAGTAGGTTGAGGCATCGGTCTCTCTCTGTCCTTGAGACCCTGCTAGTACCTTATCAGTGGCAACAGTAGGACAGAGAGAGTTCGGCTCACTACTCAGGATGAGGCAGGATCACAAGACA